AACGAGTGGACGATACGTATGCTCGCCACAACTAATGAGACGCAGTCATCAAGGTTATGGATCGTGGATGTTATGACAGCTCGTGAGTCGCCGATTGTGCGAGTCACACTCGAAATGTGCCTTCTTAGTCATCCAGTTAGTCTCAGCTTACCGCCGCTCATTTGCATTTATCTATGATGGCTTCACGGACTTTCTCCGCTGTTTTCGTCGCTCTCTGTGCTTTCCAGGACATCAATTCCGTGACGGGCAACGCCAATGACTGCGACACAGAGTGTGCCACAACTTACCCTGGGTCATATTGTAAGTATTGGAAGACGCCGAGCACCTGCTTCGGCTCGGTTGCCCGTGCTTCTGCGGCACGAGTGGACCGACTGAGGCTCTCCGAGGTTCCACGTCCTCTGCTGCAGTCACGGATGAGGTCACTGAGGCCGCTACAAGCGAAGAAGGTACGACAGCAGCTCCCGAAGCAACGAGTACGACTGGTTCTGAAGCTACTGTCGATGCCACAGTAGCGGCCAGTACAGCTGCGGTGACCGATGAGGTGGCTGTCACTACTGCACCTCCTGTGACTGGCGAAAAGACCATCAGCACGGCAGCTCGGGAAGCTCCCGGTAGAGACAAGGATGACTCTGATGCTACCACCAAGGTCGCTACGGAGGCTGCAACTGTCACCACTACGATCGGTGCTCCTGTTGAGCCTACTACTACTATAACGTCCCCTTTCCCGGTCAGCACAGCTGCTGTGACCGATGAGGTGGCTGTCACTACTGCAGCTCCTGTGACTGGTGAAGTGACCATCAGCACGGCAGCTGGGGAAGCTCCCGGTAGAGACAAGGATGACTCTGATGCTACCACCAAGGTCGCTACGGAGGCTGCAACTGTCACGACTACTATCGGTGCTCCTGTTGAGCCTACTACTATCACGTCCCCTTTCCTGGTCAGCACAGCTGCTGTGACTGATGAGACTGTTGATACTACTGCAGCCCCTGTGACTGGCGGGGTCACCATCACCACGGCAGCTGGGGAAGTTCCGGGAAGAGACAAGGATGATGCTGATGCTACCACCCCGATCGCTACTGAGACTGCGACAGTCGCTACTACGATCAGTGCTTCTGTTGAGCCTACTACTATTATGACGTCCCCTCAACCGGTCAGTACGCCCGCTGTGACCGATGAGGTTGCTGTCACTACTGCAGCTCCTGTGACTGGCGAGGTGACTATCACCACGGTAGCTGGGGAAGCTCCGGGTAGAGACAAGGATGACTCTGATGCTACCACCCAGGTCGCTACGGAGGCTGCGATTGTCACGACTACGATCGGTGCTCCTGTTGAGCCTACTACTACTATAACGTCCCCTTTCCCGGTCAGTACACCCGCTGTGACCGATGAGGTCGCTGTCACTACTGCGGCTCCTGTGACAGGCGAGATGACTATCACCACGGCAGCTGGGGAAGCTCCGGGAAGAGACAAGGATGATTCTGATGCTACCACCCCGGTCGCTACTGAGACTGCGACTGCCACTACGATCGATGCTCCTGTTGAGCCCACTACTACTATCACGACCCCTCAACCGGCCAGCACAGCTGCTGTGACCGATGAGGTTGTTGCTACTACTGCAGCCCCTGTGACTGACGAGGTCACCATCACGACGGCAGCCGGGGAAGCTCCCAGTAGAGACAAGGATGATTCTGATGCCACCAACCCGGTCGCTACTGAGACTGCGGCTGTCACTACTACGATCGATGCTCCTGTTGAGCCTACTACTCCCACGTCCCCTCTACCGGTCAGCACAGCTGCTGTGACCGATGAGATTGTTGCTACTAGTGTGGAGACAACCGATTCCGAGACTACTCTCAGTCCGATTGTGTAGCCGATCTAGGTTAATGAAGCTTTGTAATGCCCGGTGAGCGCATTTAATACAATCCGGGCCACTGCATGATGTCTTGATAATGAGTGTATAAGTGTTCATCTGTCCAAGTTGTGTTGGAAACGTTGCGTCGTAACATCACGAAAGCATCGACGCTATACCCCAATACGAAACCTATTGACAGTGCATCAGAGATATCTGAGTGGTTCCGAGATTGATGAGCGAGGGCGGGCAAGCCGCACCCTATTACCAACTACTAGTTGGCAACTAGCATGAGCCCATGTTGGTTCTCCAGTGTCTGAACTCCGATTGCTGATATGCTGACAATTCTGTTGATAGTGAGTTGAAATACAGAGGTTGGGTATCCTAGAACCTCTGATGTATCCTTGACAGCTCAATGTGTTCTTATCAAGCTTCACATGTGTGACATCGACCAAAATCAGGGTAGGTGCAATCGGAGGGCAAGCTTGTTACTCGCGTAGCTGGATTATAGGGATAAATCCAACTGTGGTGCTGTGTAGATGGCCAGCCGCCCAGCCAATAAGTTTATTCAGCTGAGTGATTATTTTGAGATTATGCCTT